GCCATGTCATCGACCTTATTCTTCTGAGGATTCGACTAATACTTATTGCCCAGAGTCTTGTCGAATTTGCCTTTGAATTTGTTGGAACCACCATTCTTTTTCCGTGATTGAGCTTGCAGTGCTTGTATCGAGTCTTGAACTCAATTCCTTTCGAAAATCCTTATCTCATGTGCTTCTAACGAACCAACCAAATCTTCTAGTTTTAGGGTTTCAAGTTGGTCGGATTCTTGAATAGCTACGATAACGTGATCAAAACTGAGAGGCCAATGCATGTATTAACTTCTCAACTATTATCTTATCAGTTAGGGTTTCACCACAACCATTCATGAAATAGACGAGTTTATGCACCTTCGACACATAACCTGTAATATTTTCGTCTTCTCTCATTGACAATAATTTATATTATCGTTGCAAGGCTTGCAACTTGACAACCTTCACTTCATAGTACTTAACAATAATATCCCATGCCCCCTTCGCCGATTCAGCATGAGAAATTTTGTTGAAGTTTTTCGAATCTACCATCGTTTGAATGCAATACGCATCCTTTCAATCCTTCTTATTGGCTTCGTTGTTAGCGGTTCTTTAAGCATCAGTTGCATCTGAAGCCAACGCAAGAACACAATTAATAACTACTTCTAAGATTTCATGAAAGTCAAACAAAGTTGGAAGAGAATTTAGAATGTTGTTAGTATCATTCATCTTCACATCGATTGATTGACAACAAACCACGATCTGTGACATGTGATTCTTGAAAACACGATCAAGAATATAACTGGAGCTCTAGATACTAATTTGTTAGTGTGTGTGACACTTTTAATGAGGGGAGAAATAGAATAAGGAAATAAAAATTCTATTATTAAATTAAATTGTTACAAACTGAATTACAGATTATATCTATTTATATACACCTAACTTGTACAATAAATAGACTAATAAACCTTAATTAAATTTATGTTTAAATTCCACAATTTAAATTATACTCCCTCCATTCTCTTTTATAAGAAAAAAAATTCAACTTTTTTTGTTCTTAAATATAAGAAAATTTTACTAAATTTATTAGTACTATACTATTACTTTACCTATATTATCCTTCATTAAATTACTAGTTGTTGTTTCAATATTTTAATTAGTTACTACAACTTTCTATGCAAATTAGTGGAAAAGTCACTTTATTGCTCTAAGTTAGATACATGCAGTGGAATAATTCAAGAGTCACAACAGTATTATAAAAGAAACTATAACTTCCTTTTTCTTTCTTCTATTAGTCATTTTATACTCCCTCATTTCCTTTGATAAGAAAAATATGGATGCTTCAAAAGAGCTCTTCAGTGATCCCTCGTTTGATCTAGGCTTTGATGATGATTTGAAGGATGAAAGTGCAACAAACAACAACCTCTCTAATGAAACAGTGTACTCGGTGAATGCATGTTCTGAAGTTGTTCAACCATATGAGAGATCATTTTTCGACCTCAACAAACCTGTTATGGATCTGAATAAATTTCCAGATGAGGGACTGATCTTTGGCTTAGAAAATGAAGAGTTGGGAAAAGTGGTTCATGACATGTTGAAGATTTTATTATACTCTTTGTATTAGTTGTGTCATGTTAGAGTTTATGATTAAGATTTTGTATTAGTTGTGTCATTTTGGAAAAGAGGTTCACTGTTAGATTTTATGATTAAGATTTTGTCTCATGTTCATCATTTTGGATAGAAGTATTGAGATAAAGTTTTTGTTAAATTAATGGTATTTCTCCTACTTTTAGTGTCTTCATATTTATTGAGATTTTGGATAATTTCTTTACGTAATTTCAACTTTAAGTGTTTGTTAAAACAATGTTTAAAGTGTTTGCTAACTTCTTTTTTTTGTCTATGCATAAGTGTTTCTTATAGTTTGCATGCATTATTTTATAATCCAAATTTTTATCAAAGGAAATAAGAAAATCAGATTTTGGAAATGGTACAGAGTGGCAGGCAAAAGTAGCTTAGTATTAACAGGCATTTCAATTTTGATTCATCTTAGTAGTTGGAGTAAAATAAGAATAAAGGTGTTCCATAAATATAATCAAACTATAGCAAAATAGGAGTAGGGCATGACTAAGTATTTCAACAACAAAATTACTCCACATTAGCCAAAATAATTCAACAACTTAATTGGCTAAATATTCTATAACTTCTTGAACTAGTTCACCATCACATTTTAGTTCAACAAGAAGTCTTCCTTGATGAAGCATTACATCTTTTTTTACATGAGGAATTTTATAATTATTAGATCCTTTAACCTTGATGATTTCAATCATACATGATTGAAGTGTTAGAAAAATTTTATTTGAAGCTTTGCTAGAAAAAGTGTCAAAAGACTTCTGCACAGCTTGGATAAGCTCATCAACAGAATTAGTCACTTCCATTTGTTGCAATGATTGAATGGCATTAAAAAAACCCAAATCCAAAATATTCAAATCAGGAGAATTCGGAGGTTGACAATTAAAAGGATGTCAAGTCCACCTTCAGAAGTTACTCGACGAAATTCTTCATCATCTATAGAGACATGGGAAGGTGCGTTATCTTGTTGTATGTAAATTGTTTCAAATGCTTGTTCTCGCGGCCATTTTTCTTTGATGGCTGGTAGAACTTTATTAATCAAAAACATTCGACTAACCTCTTTATTAATAGAAGTTATCGGTTTTGTTTCAAGTGTCCCTGCGGCTCTATTAACACTTGACCTTCTTGCCGGTACTTTAGTAACAAGCGGAAATACGCCAATTTTTCCTGAAAATATCTCATTACCTTCATTATCAAATCTAGGCCTAGCAACTGCAGCTAAAAACATGACTTTACCAATGTAATTTTTATTCTTGCATGTGCATAAGGGTCATCCTCATTTGCAAGGAGGTAATAGTTCGTAGATTTCTTAGATATGTAAAACCATTTTTCGTCAATATGCACAATATTGTGCATGGACTTAAACTTTGGATCATGAGGAATGCTACTTTCATCAAGCATATGCAAACAGAATCTAAGTCGGTCTTTCATATTATCATCTTTCAAGTGTGGTCTTAATGCGCTTGAATGTCGACGCAAAACTCCTTCTTTTACATATCTAAACAACGATGTCTTGCAAATGCCCAACGCACGAGATAAAGATAGAAGATTTCTACGCTTAAATAATGAAATATCACGCATTTTCTCATAATCAATCTCAACTCTTTTTCGACCACTATTTTTTGTTTTCTTATGACAAGCATCTCCAGTTTCACACAGTTGTCTCCAAATTCGATAAATAACGGAGTTAGATACCGAAAATGAAGAAGCCACCTCTTGAACTATCCCTTTTTCAAGTTTTCTATTATGACTTGAATGTAACAATAATCCAGAAATGATTATTCTTTCACTGTTGGTCAAGAAATGACGTTTTTTTTTCCGGATGAATGTGTCTCATCATTGATGCAGCCTTCTAAAGAAAAGAAAAATCAATTTAATTAAAAGATTTTATATAAGAAACAAATCAATAATCTTAGAAAATGATACAGTATCAATAATCTTAGAAACAAATCAATTTAATTAAAGAAACAAATCAATAATCAATAATCTTACAAATCAATAATCTTAGAAACAAATCAATTTAATAAAAATGATACAATATCAATAATTTGATGCTCAATAGAAAGTTGCACAAAATGGTCGTTGTTGACTGGACATATATTCCTCTTTTAAAGAAACAAATCAATAATCTTAGAAATTTTTTAAAAATTGTTGTACCTTTTTGAGATATTATTTGAGTGCTTTCTTCATCTTCTTCGCTATCATCTTCATCGGAAAATAAATCATTCATTACAGAGCTTGAAGAAGGATTCATGAAAGTTGTAATATTTTCATTATCAAAAAATTCCAAAGGTGATGTGTTGTAATCTGTCACTAAGTTTGGAGAATGATTCATGGAGGTTGTTCTGTTTTCATAAACAAAACAAAAAATTGATTTGTTTGGTTGTTACCCATAATCAAACTTGAAGAAGGATTCATGGAAGCTGTACTACTTTCATCATCCAAAAATTCTATACGAGTTTTGTTTAAATCAAGGTTTAGAGGCATGTTGATAATTGAAGAGATACTCCAATCAAATAAGAGAGATGAAAGCAAATTCAATTTAGTTTTCAATTTAAAGAACAAAGAAAACGGCAAAACGAAAATTTGGAATGAAAATTTGGCAAAATTTTTTGAAAGAAGAATGAAAATAAGTTTACGTGAAAAGAAGTTGAAAATGTGGTATTGTAAAAACCACTGATTAATGTCCTAATTATTACTTGAGTGACTCATAATTATAAATATTTATTTAAAAAAATTACTAAAGGGTAATGATGTAAATACTTAACTCATTTTTATAGAAGTTAAAGAATTCATTGATACATGTTAAATATGTTTTTTTTTCCTTATAAAAGAGAATAGAGGGAGTATATAATATTATTATATTTAATATCTCAACATATATTAAAACACTAATTTAATACGAGGTTGACATGAATTTAAGTAAAAATGAAAATTTGATAAGAATAATTTTATAAAATATTACTCCCATAAGTTAGTTATGATTATTTTTATTTCATTTAAACATTTAATTAGAGTAGTTTTATAAAATTTATATTTTATTTTAATTGTATATTTTTCTTAATCAATAAGAAATACCATTGACTGTGAAAAAAATAGAGTAGCTTTTTTTACCAATAGACGAGTAGTAGCTACAGTACATACTAGTTATAGAATTTGGTTGAAGTGAATTTATTACACCAGTTGAGTTGTCAAATAAAATAAGGACATTTATCTACCATGGAGTACAACGTAATTATATCTCTCCTTATTCTCATCAATAAATAGAACAAGACCACACTACTATTTTACTATTCATTTACTCTTCATCCTCTACACACCAATTTAAAACGCCTCTTCTCTTCTCTTCTCTTCCCAAACTCAAAGCTCACTGGATCACGATTCACACACAAAGAACAGAGATGAAACACCAAACATTGACATGCCTATGTGTTCTGGCTCTCACCATCACAGTTTGTTCCAACACAGCAAACGGAGCAGAAGACTTGGCCAAAACATGTGGTCAAGTGGTTTCAAAGGTGATTCCATGTTTGGACTTTGCGACGGGGAAAGCACCGGCGCCGAAGAAGGAATGCTGTGATGCAACGAAGAGTATAAAGGATACGGATCCAGAGTGTCTATGCTATATCATTCAACAGACTCATAAGGGGAGCCCTGAAAGTAAGAGCATGGGGATTCAAGAGGATAAGCTTCTTCAACTTCCTGCTGTTTGTGGTGTTAAAGCCAACATCTCTGATTGTCCTAGTATGTTTTCTTTTCTAACACGCATTTCAATACTTGTTTTTTAATAGGGTCTGTTTGTTTTCAAGATCACTTTGTTTTAGACCTATGTTACATCTCTAAATACACGCATAGAATTTTTTTTCTTTATTTTTACAAATAAATAACACTATTTATTGTTTTTACCATTTTCATATGTTCCTTGGAAAACTACATTTAAAAAAATTATATTTTTTAAATTTGATATAGTTAATGTTTTTAAATATATAATTTGTGTGCTAAAATATAGTTTATCAATTTCATTTTTTAACTATTTTTAAGCAAACAATTATTTTTTGAATATTTTTTAGTACACAAGATATATATTTAAAAATATTAATTGTTATTATTTTTTTTTAAAGTTTAATATTGTATAATAATCAAAATTTCAACCTTTAAATATGAATAAAGGAGATGTTAGTGTTTCAAATATGACTCTTTGTATTTTGATGTTTTGTTTTTAAAAATAAAAAAGAATAAAAAGGCCATTTAGAATAATTTATTTTCATAATACAAACTATAAATAATAATAGTAATTTTGAGTGCGCAATTTAAGAAACATTTAAAAATAATACTTAAAAATTTACGAATAAGTAGTAGCCTATTTTTGAACCAATCTCTTCTCTTTAACGATAGGGGATAAGGGAGTACAACCATACTCAATTATGAATGACCAGTTATACCTATATCGGTTAGGAGGATGGGAAGTTATTGCATATGGAAATTAATTGTGCACAGCTTGCATCTAGATAGTTTAAGTTGGAATAGTAACTGTAGCCATGTTTCCACCACTCGAGTCCAAATACTTGGTTTAGAATTTTAAATATGAAGATTTACGATGGTTATTAATATAAATTTGGTGGTGATTGTGGCAGAGCTTCTGGGTCTATCTCCAACCTCTTCGGACGCAGCAATATTCAAAAACTCATCCAAGATCAACCCGCCTTCATCAGCCGCATCATCCACCGGAACTCCGACCCCACCGACCCCAAGCGGCTCACATAAGCTTAGACCAGTCATGATCAGCGACGTGATGATGGTGACTCTAGCCTTTGTTCTTGCCGCAGTACCTACCGGATTAATCACCATTAAATTGTGATGAGTTGGAACTTTAAATGCTTCACCTAACCCAAAGTGAAGTCTGCTTTGGTGGGTTCTTTCGTTTACTGCTTATCTATTTTCTGTAGGACATTTAATTGGCTTGCATCTCTCTGCTATGTAATGGTTTCTCGAATTGTGGAAACCTGCACTTTATCTTCGTTTTCCTTTATTGTTATCTTCTTACTTTCTGTTTCCCATTAATATGGAATACTACTAGTTTATTGGTGGTCATTTTCATATCTAAGATATTTTCGTGAATTTGTCAAAAATATTAAATCTTTGTGAGAGAAACACCACTTACTCAGCTAAAACATTAAGATGATAGGTGAGTGAGTGAGTTCTCTCACTTATATATATGGAAATCTCCATATTCTTATTCAATGTGAGATTATTTTCCATTTACTCACACTTACTATATTATTCCAACAATTATTTACTAATATAGTACTATTTGATATCGGTGGAACACAAATAATAATTCTCACACTCTGTTGCGAGAGAGAATGAGGAAGAGATATGCACTAACAAGACATTATTTCAATTTAATTAATGCAACAACAAATGCTTGACGAGCATTACCCTCTATGCTCAGCGTTATGAAGGATACATTTCTATAATACTATTAGATTTGTTGGTTGATGATTTTAGTTTAAATAAAGATCATTTAATATTTCTTTTGATTTTGAAATTTGTCTTTGAATAGCCTCTGAGGCAATTGATCTTCAGATTCATATACAAATCCATTACATTATATATGTAGTTTGATATTGTGACTCAGTTAATGATTTATGAGATAAATTTATTAACGAATGAATGATGATAAATAAAATATTTTTTTTAGTCTTAAATTATTAGAGACTGTAAATTTTAATCTTCAATTGTCTACGGCTTTTCGGTTGGTATTAAATCAAAGGAACAAACGTTTTTTTTTTATCATAATACATTTATTGTGCCAAGATAGAAATTAACTAGTTTTCTTTAGGATTTTTTTTAAATATATTTTGAGCAATGCTTTTAGTAATCTTCAGATGCAATTATAATTTATTCATCATAATCTTTTTCTTCATTCATCCTCTTATATCGATTTAAAGAATCATACAATCAATGTGAAATGGAAGCCCCATTTTACTATATTTTTTCAAGTTCTAACATTGAAGGATTCTACTTCTATGATTTAGAGATTTTAGCTTAGGAAGATCTCATTTAGGGACTTAGAATTTATATTAGCAGTGTTTCATTTAATCTTTGTCGATCAACCTTTGTTTCGGCAGAGCTTGGGGTGTAATTTTTCATTTGCCTTCACTTCTTCTTGAAGGGTTATTTCTCATTGATCGAACAAATTAAAAGGGTGAGATAAATCTTTTTTTCTTTCGAGAAGCTAATCACTATGCAAATATCAGTCACAATAGTAAGTTTGGTTTAATAAAATTTTCAAACTCCCTATTCATTATTAAATTGTAATTCATAGTGTTAAAATTATGGTGTATCGAAAAGCACATAGATTAAATTTGTTTTAGATTTAAATAGATTTGATTTAGATCTAAAATAGATAGATTTTATTTAGTACCAAAATAAGTATTGGGGGGCTTTTATAGTTTTGGGGCTTTGAGCTAACCAAAATCTATAAATAGGGAGTAACCCTTAAATTTGTAATTAAGTCAATTAAGCTGTATTCACAGTAGTTGTAAAGTAAATAACAAAAGTTTTCCACAGTTTGTGGGCAGAGAGAAACTCTGTAGAAAATAATTATCTTCTTTCTTTTCTTTTCTTTCTCATAATTCATTGTCATTGTGTAGAAATTAATCATAGATATTTGGTGGATTTCCAACATCTGGTATCAGAGCTCGGTTTCGATTCAAGGGAATTATCGATCAAGAACTATTGAGGAAGAAAAAGAATTCACAATGACGAATTATGGGAATGCAAATTATCCAACAACTCTATCAATTCTGAAAGTAGACAACTATGAGAATTGGTGCAAATAGATGAAAGTTTTATTCAGGTGTCAAGGTTTTTGGGATGTTGTAAAAGATGGATTTGAAGCGCTTGGAGAAAACGCTTCAGAAGAAGAAAAGAAGAAACACACAGAAATTGAGAAGCTGAGTTATAAAGCACTATTTATAATTCATCAATGTGTGAGTCCAGAAATTTTTGAAAAAGTGAGTGATTCAGAATCTACAAAAGAAGCTTTGGATGTTCTTGAGAAGTCCTTTGGTGGTGCAGAAAAGGTGAAAGAAGTGGGGTTACAAACTCACAAGAGAACGTATGAATTGCTTCAGATGGAAGATAGTGAAAGCATATCTGATTTCTTCACTAGAGTTACAAAACTAGTTAATCAAATCAAGGCATGTGGAGAAACATTAACAACAAGAGTTGTTGTTACAAAGATCTTAAGATCTTTGACTCCTAAGTTCGACCACGTGGTGGTGGCTATAGAAGAGGGGAAAGACTTGTCAAAATTGACAAAGGAAGAGCTCCAAGGAACGTTTGAATCTCACGAACAAAGAATAAATGAAAGAGCTGCAAGAAAGTCGAAGAGTGATGTGGCTTTGCAGGCACATTCAACAAAAGAAACCAAAGGCAAAGGAAAGTGGTTCGACAGAGGTAGAGGCGACTACAACAAATCGACTGGTAGAGAAAACCGGAACGAAGGAAACATATCAAATTAGAGAAGACCATGCCAAGGCAACCAAAGAGGTGGTGTTGCAAATAGAGGAAGAGGTAGTGGTTGAAAACCTGATAAGAGTCACATTTAATGTTACAATTGTCAGAAGTATGGTCATTATTCAAGTGATTGTCCAGAAAAGCGAAAGAATCAAGAAAGTGATGCAAAGTTTACAAAATATGAAGAAGAAGAGATGATGTTGATGGTCACAATAAGAGATGAAGATATATTCAAGGACCAATGGTACTTGGATTCAGGATGCTCATCACATATGTCTGGAAGAAAAGATTGGTTTGTCAACATAAATCCCTCAATAAAAAATATGGTAAAATTCAAAAATGACAATACCCTAGCAGTTGAAGATATTGGTGATGTTATGATTATGAGGAAAGATGGCAAGAGGTCAGTAATTTCTAATGTTTTGTACATACCAGACATGAAGGAAGAATCAAACCATCATGAATATGGTGAGAAGTATGTTGAAAGGCAAGAATTTACCTAAAGAGTTTTAGGGTGAAGCTGTTTCGACTGCAACATACATTTTGAACAGATGTCCTATGAAGAAGCTAGAAGAAATTACTCCAGAAGAATGTTGGTCTGGTGTGAAGCCTAGCTTGAGTCATTTGGAGATATTTGGATCTATTGCACCTAGGCATGTGCCAAATCAGTTGAGAAGAAAAATTGATAACAAGTCAAGTCAAATGATTCTAGTTGGATATCATTCGACATGAGGCTACAAGTTGTTCGACCCAGTGAAGAAGCAGATTGTGATCAGCAGGGACGTGATCATAGATGAGTTTAAATAATGAGATTAGACTGAAAATGTCAAGATAGGTTCAGTGGGAATCCTACTTGAAGAACCAGAGACTCAAGTCGAAAGAGAAGTTCGACAAGAGGAACCAGCAGTTATAGATCAACCAAGTATAAGCGGGCCTTAAAGAACAAGACGCATGTCTGCAAGATTGCAAGATTGTGTGATTACATCAGATGATGTGATAGATAATTAAGGTGGGTTGGTGCATTATGCTTTCTATGCAGATGTCGAACATGTCAATGCAGCTGAAGCATTGAAAGATTCGAAGTGGGTGAAAGCAATGAACGAAGAAGTGAAGTTTATCGAAGACAACAACACTTGGTCACTTGTCAAATTGCCTCAAGGCAAGAAGGAAATTGATGTCAAGTGGGTATAGAAAGTAAAGATGAATCCCAAAGAGGGAGTAACTCGGCACAAAGCAAGGCTTATAGCAAAAGGATTTCTACAGAAAGAAGGAATAGACTTCGATGAATTTTTTGCACCTGTTTCTAGGATTGAAACAATCAGGTTGGTTGTTGGTCTAGCAGAAATAAATAGATGGCACATATGTCAGATGGACGTAAAGTGTGCATTCCTGAATGGACCCTTAGACGAAGAAGTTTATGTTAAACAACCAGTTGGATTTGTGAAACATGACGAAGAAAGAAAGGTGTACAGGCTGCATAAAGCCTTGTATGAATTGAAACAAGCTCCAAGAGCTTGGAATAAGAAAATTGATAGTTTCCTAAGGGAGAAGGAATTTGTGAAGTGCACAACTGAACATGGAGTATATGTAAGAAGCAATAGTGAATTTCTTATACTATGTCTCTATGTAGATGATTTGTTGATAACAGGTAGCTGCAAAAGTGAGACCGAAGACTTCAAAGGTGATCTCAACAAGGAATTTGAAATGTCTAATCTAGGTGAAATTTCATATTTCCTTGGCATAGAATTCTACAAGAGCGGTAGAGGTTTGATGATGCATCAAAGAAGATATGCAGAAGAAATTCTCAAGAGGTTTGAGATGGAAGAATGCAACTCAACTTCGACATCTACAGAACCAAGACTGCAACTGTCAAAAGATGCAGATGAAGATGATGTCGATCCAACCCAATACAGAAGACTTATTAGATCATTGAGATATCTTTGTCATACAAGGCCTGACTTAGCATTTAGTGTAGGTATGGTAAGTATATTCATGCAGAAGCCAAAGGTATCACATCTATCACCAGTGAAGAGGATACTAAGGTATCTCAAGGGAACTCTCGACTATGGCATTTTGTTTCCTGCAGCTGATAAAGGAAAAGAGTGTAAGTTAGTGGAATACATTGATTCGAGTTGGTGTAGTGATGCTGAAGATCGAAAATCAACAGCAGGATATGTGTTTATGTTAGGTGGTTCACCAGTTGCTTGGAGTTCAATAAAGGAACCAGTAGTGGCATTATCATCATGCGAAGCAGAATACATATCTGCTTCTCTTTGTGCATGTCAAGCAACTTGGATGGTTAACTTGGTCGAAGAGATGTCAGGAAAAGATCAT